ATGTTTCACCTAGGACAACACGGGAAAGCTGTATCAGAAGTAGGGATAAAACGCAAGCATCAACGCAACTTCTAATATTTCCGTCTTTTTCTTCCAGCTCAACACCACCTCCTTCCTAACATTCTTTCAACCAGTCTCTTCCCCATCTGTCTATATGACCTCATGACTTCCCAAGCCCAGGTTCTTTACCTTCCTCCCTGCCTCTTCCCACTCTCAGTCCTTCCTTAACATGGCTCTTAAAATTTTTCTTAAACACATCTCCTATGTTTTTCTTCCACCTCACTCAGGTTTAGATTTTATCCTCCCTCACAGTGCTCAGGCTTAGCAAAAGGCAGACACAATTCAAGAATGACAGACTGACGTTTGGCAAAGCACTAACTTACGAGAGGAAGTGCTAAGCAATCTTTGCCAGAGATGACACTACCACATTCAACACTTTGCTCTCACCTGCAAAAGAAACAAAACACCCCAGGTTGTCTTTCCCGCAGGAGAAGAAAAAGAGAGGTGGGAATAATGCAACGTTGGAAAGCCAGTTATGTCTTCCTTGTTCTCTAGCTAGACCTACAATACATTGTGATTAATTTTATTGAGAGAAGTCTAGGGACTTCAGAAAATTTACCCCAGCTTTTACAGTCCCAACCAAGCCAAATGCTTGAAAAGCTGAGATAGTGATCAGAGTCCATCTCCAACACCCCTGCTAATCTAGAGAGCAGAGTGAGAGAGAGGGAGCAGGCACAATCCACTGGCACTGGACACTTAAAAGCTCTCCCAGAGTAGGGGATGCTTGAACTGGCTAAGTCAGCCTGGGTCCCAGTCACTTGGGTCTGCTTCAAGGGTATAAAGAAATCTGCAAGCGATACTCCAGCTCCATCAGTCCTGTGTTGTTGTTACACTAAAAATAAGAGTGCTGTCTGGACTTTGCATGGGAAGGACCCGAATATTGGCTAATTTATTTTAAAAATACCCGTTAAAAATGAAAAAAGAAGCAGCAGTAGGAGTCCAGTCATTACACAGGTACAAGAAAATCCAGTGGCACAGGGAGTTTCCACAGACAAAGGATTTCCCACAGCCTATTGTTGGAAACACTATGATTCAATTGCTCATTTCTTGCTCAACAGGCTGCTGATTCAACCAGAAGAGGATGCTGACATATTTCACCTTCTGCATTCCACCTACTGCAGCCTAAATGAACAAAAAAACTTGGCTTTTACAAACATGTGACTATATCTCATGCTAGTTCCCAGTGACTTATATCACATACTTTTGTTGTTCAATATCATCTTTTTGTCAGTCATTTAAAGGTAAACATAATAAAATAGTATTTCGGGAATTTTAATTGTCACTGTCTCCTTATCTTGCTAACTTGCAGTTGGACATTCACTACCAACAGGTGTTGAGAAGCTGAAACACATACAAACTCACAAAATAATCAGATAAAATGTGCTCTGCAGCTTGAGACAAATACTGTTAACACTGTATATGAAAAACAGTCTGCTTGTGAAAACGAACGGCCTGCCGCAACTCCCCAGAGAAAGCCCTCAGGTAAGGAATTCAGATGGAAGCAGGGAGCAAGCCAGTGGAGGCTATTTTAAACCCAGGCCTTTCTAAAGCTACCTCCAGGTGTGGTCCTAAATTCAGCAACAGTATCCGCTTCCCAGAAGCAGATTTTCAGCTGTCTCTGACAGGTAACTGGAGATACGCTGTGCAGTTCTAGAGGCATGGCATGTAGCTACCCTCCGAAACAAAGCACTAGCTGTTATTTTTCAGAGAACAGATTGTATCTCTGTTCTACTGCAGAAGCTTATATACATGTCTTTCTCTTACTCAGGTTTGTTCAGGATGCTGGCAGTAGAAAGTACAGAAAATTCCCTCGAGGGAGGCAGGAAACAGAGATAGAAGTGTGGCTAGAGGCTAATAGATTAGCCATTACTGACTTTATAATCCACGTAGACTCTTAAATGTGTTAAATGTCTCAGAGCTGCATTTTTAAAACGTTAGGAATGAAAGAACAGGGAAGGAGCTTGTTTTAGCAAAGCAAGGAGGAGTCTCAGACACAACATAAATAAACTACATTAGGGAAAAAAAGAGGAAAAAATTAAAACCAACCCTTCCAGGACTTTATTATTTTTGCACACAAGCAACTGATATGCACACAACAGACACTGCTTTTAGGCTTAAAAATCATGAATGGATCTTTGCTCTACCTAAACACACAAAAATAGCTTCAGTTCAGTCTAGCAGTTAAACCCGTGCTTAACTGAAAAGGTCATGAGCGAATGCATCTGAAGTAAACTGGATTTGAGCGCTTTGCTGGTGACGGCACAGGCTTAGTCTTTATATTCCTAAGGATGAAGAAAGTGTTTTGCGGATACATAGGAATAATGAAAGAAGTGAACATTGTTGAAAATGACTTGGAATTCCTACTATAACAATAACACATCGATTGGTTAATAGCTTACAATCAAAACATAAACCTACTACGTTTCACTCAAGTCTGGATATACATCATTAATCTCTGACGATGTGAGGACTACATTATGTTTTACTAGGAAAGCTTTAAAAATCATGAATATTCCAAATAAAAGGAAAAAGTTCTCATCTATCCGGTTTCTGACAAATATAAACTAAGAGGTCTGCAATTACGGTGACATCTGAGTTGAAATGAATATTTAAAGCCTGCATGGGGAACAGTGACTGTATTGAAGGCTGTCCAACATTTGCTGATGCGGACATAGTTTTTAACTCCTTTTAAACGTGTAGCATTTAATTATTTGAATGAAGATGTTTCAGTTACGCATCTGACTCAGAATGGTTTTAAAAATTTATTAAAGGAAAGCCTTTCTACAAAATAAAAACCATGTAGGCATTTCTCAGAATAGAACTGGTGGAAAATGCATTACTTTACTCTCCTGTTTTTGTTTTAAAAATAGCAAAAACCAGTAGCAAGCCGGGTTTAATTGAAAAGCTCTACTACCTTCATGCTTTGAAACACAGATTTCACATCTTGAAGAGAAATCAGGGCTGTGCTTTTTGCCTTTTCTAGAGAAATCCATACAAAGCCGACACCTAAAAGTCTATTTGCAGGCCCTAAACTAGGTGACTTAGCGGAGTTCTCCATGCGTGATGCGGGCCAGAAATGATCAGGTCGAGACTGCGCTGACACCCTTTCGGGGTCTGGATCTGCTGCGGGGCCCAGAGGGCCGCGGGGATCAGAAAAGGGACCCGTAAGGACCCGTTCCACGAGTGGCCAGGGACAGCCCGAGGGAGCGCAGGGCAAGCGGCCGTGCGCTGGAACGGGGGCAACAGGGCTGGCTACGGA